CACACTCTCTTCAGGGCAGTTCCATTCCTGCCCCTGGCTTCAGGTCCCACTGCCCCTTTGCAGTCCCTGGCACAGCAAGACACCAAGGATGGGCACCCAGTGGCTGCTTCCCAGCACCTCCTGTCCTCCACTGTGGGTTCACCTCCAGGGTGGACTCCTCTCTGTGGCGGAGGGAAGGTCAGGTCAAGGTATGGCTTTGAGCTCTGGAGATTTGGGGGGATTTTCCCAGCCCTTCCTCAAGGAGCCAGCTTCTTGCCCTTCCAAGCAAGTCTAAGAGTTTAATCCCAGATCTGTGATTTTTTTTTCAAGCTGTGTGGCCTCAGGCAAGTCATGGAACCTCTCTGAACCTCAGTTTGTTCATCTGTAAAACGGGGTTAAAGATAGGACCTACCTCACAGGCTGAGGATGACATGAGGAAACACAGACAACAAATCCAGCACAGAATAAGCTCACGGTTGGCACCTGGGAGTGAGCGGCTGACATTACTTCTCCTGCCTCTGTAAGGTTAATGGCACCCTTACCATTCACTGTGCCCGGGGCACTTGACCGTGCATAAGTTAGACTGGGAGGCTCGGAGAGGCTACGTGGCAAAGATGATACGGGGCATCATCTTGACTTCTGTCTCCTTCCTGAGCCTTCTAGGGCATGAAAGACCCACAGGACCTGGCCTCGTGAGATTCCCACCTGAGCGGGAGGAACAGGCGAGTGAACAGTGGCCACTCAGTGGCATGAGCAGACACGCAGACACCCATTTTACAGATGGAGAGATGGAGGCCCAGAAGGGAGGAGAACAAACTAGAGTTACCTTTTGGCCAGGCAGTCTAGTTTCTGTCCCGGGGCTCAGGGCAAAGAACCAGGAAGAGGAGGGACAAACAAACGGAGCCCAGAGGCAAGGCTAGATCAACCGTGAGCTCAGAAAATGCCTGGGGGGCCCTCGGGGAGCTGAGCCCCAGAGAGAGGTAGTGGAAGGAGGTGATGGATCAGAAGTAGGAAGCATGTGTGAGGAGGAATGAGGAGTGACGAGGTCATCTGTCCAGACCATGAAACATTTAGGTCAATGGCCAGCAAATGACAAGACTGGAAACATCTTCTGTTGTCGGGCACCAGGAAGGGAGTCAGTGACGGTGTCTGTGCACAGGAGAAGCCACTGAAGGGAAGGAGGGTTGCATCTAGGCAGGACACGGGTGGGGTGACCCCAGAAACCGTGGTCTCTTCCGGCCTCCCTGGGGCAGATGTCCAAGCCCTCCCCGAACACGCGTGCTCCTTCATCCGAGCCGACCCGCAGGCGTGCCCAGGCTCAGGAACCCATTGCCTGCCTGCTTGTTCGTTTGCTTGCACTGGAGTGCGCTCCACACAGTGAAACGCATCAGTCAGACGAGAAGAGTTGAGGAGGATCCCGTGTGACCAGCACCCAGACCAAGATTGAGCATATCCCCATCACCCCACAAGCCTCCTTCCAGTCCCTCCTAGATCATCACCCAAAAGGGTGACCACTGAGCTGATTTCTACCACTCTAGATCGGCTTTGCCCGTTCTTGGACTTTGTATCATGGAAGCCACATAGCATTCAAATAGCTCTTTGTGTCCGGCCTCTTTAACTCACCGTGTGTTTGAGATTTGTCCCCATCGGCTCATGGATCAACCGCTCGCCCCTTTTTATCCCGAGTAAGGTCCCACTGTTCACGCATCCGTTCACCAGATGACGGATCTTTGGATTGTTTCCTGCTTTTTGGCTACTATGAATAAAGCTGCCATACACATTGCATACAGGTCTCTGTAGGGACACACGTCTTCATTCTTTTGCAGAAATGCCTAGGAAAAGGATTTCGAAGTCTCCCGGATATGCACCTTGGGGAACATGCAACATGGGGAATCCGCATCTAACTTAATAAGAAACCGCCACAGTGGTTCCGGCGTGGCTGCGCCCTGCTGCACTCCCGTGAGCCACGTGGGAGTGTTCTGGCTTCTCCCCGGCCTCGTCAGCACATGGTACCTTGGGCCTCGAATGGTAGTCCCTTCCGGAGCCACGGGGTGACAGGGGCTGTCATTGGCTAATGATGTTGAGCATCTTTTCTGCCAGCCTTCTTGACCCTTCCGCCTGGAGATGGACCAGACCGGAGCCTGGAGACTCTTCAGGGCCGAAGCCCATCCCACCAGCCAACCTGCTCCTTCCACTGATGATGCTCACATAAGACACTCGGATTTCCATTCGCTTCCCTCCTCCTCACCTGCCGGTGCATCACCAACTCCTACCCTTCCTGCTTCACAGTTATCTCTCGATCCCCCACCTCTTGTGCCGCCCACGCTGACTCAGGCCCTCTTACCCTCATGCAGCCTTGCCTACCCCCGCCCTCCCCTGCAGCCACTCTGGCTCCTTCCTGCCGCCCCAGGCTCGACCATTCTCCCAAAGCCCCCACCCTGCTCTCTACACTGTCCTCAGTCCCTGGAACATTCTCCTCTCTACAACCACCCTCAAAATTTTGCACCTGTCCAGCCTCGAACATTGTCCTGACCCCTCCCCAGCCCACACCCAAGGTCTGGCCACATTGCACATGCTCACAGCCCCCAGCACCCCTCCTTTTGGGCTCTGGGCCCCACCACGATCTTCTATTTTTCTAGGTGATCCTTTGATGAATCTCTAGTTCTCCCTCCAGGCCAGGAGCCCACATGGCATCCCCTGGAGCTAGCATGGTGCCTGGCACAGGATGGACACACCATGATAGCTGAGTTATATGGCCTGGCTGCGTGGCAGATGGGGCAGGATATAGAGGGCAAGTTTGAGGCACCTCTGCCCAGATCAGCTGCCAGAAAAACCACCGCAGGGCTGGCAACCCAGCCCGGGAGACACAAGAGACCTAGAGTAAACTTAGTATGCATCCCCCTCTCCCGCCCCCGTTTCCTGATTTCCTGTCTACCCTCCCTCCTTCCTTGCCGCCAGAGCTGAAGTCAGCAGAGTCTGCTTTCTTAGCAATGCAACCTGCTGGCGCAAGTGATCCAGCCTCCTGAACCTCAGTTTCCCCAGCAGTAAAATGGGATAATAATTACAGTCACATCCCAGGAGGCCTGAGTAGATCATGCAGCTGAAGTGTTCAGCATGGGCCTGGACATGCACTAAATGCCCAGGACATGCTGGCTCTACTCCGCAGCCCTCTCCCACTGCCATCTCTCTTTGTCCTGGACTCCCAGCATTACTGCAACCTGCTCTCGACACTGTCACCTTCGCAAGTATCAGTGCCTTCCCTCAGCCACCAGGAGATGCAAGGGTGATTAATGGGGACTTCCAGAAGTCAGGACAGGTCAGCAGTGGGGAGAGTTTCGGGCACGGCATTCCCCCAGAACCCTGCTGTGACCTTCAGGACAGCACGACATTGTGGTAGGAACAGGGTTTTCTGATTCAGGTCTGGGTTCCAGTCCCAGATCCTATGTGTGACCTGAGATAGGCGACTGCCTCAGTTTCTTCTTCTGTAAAATAAGAAGAATACAAGTCCTCCTTCCCAAGCTGTCTGAGGGGACTCGTGGCCATGTTGTTGATGTTAGTGCTCAGAATATATGTGCCAAATGGAAGAACGGGTGACTCAGGCAGTGAAGTCCAAGGTCGAGGGGAGGTCGGGCAGGAGGAGGGCACAATGGTACGAGGGAGACAGCCTATAGCCATCTCCGAGGGCCAACTGTTGGATTTTTCAGAATTTTGTAAGCCAGTTGTTTCATAAGTTAAATTATAAAAAAAAAAAAAAAACCTCCAATACTCAACATTCACCACTTCCTAATTATTTTACTACATTCTGCTTTATCTATGTTCTTGAGAGGATTTACTTTTGTTGTATCATTTATTTTATGCATAGTTGGTGGCTCAAAATCAGCCATGGGAGTATTTACACCAACGATGGGTTGGCGAGCACCACAGATCACCGCTTGGGTACAAATCCACCCCAGGAGCCCTCCTTCTGGGTCTGCAGCCCGTCCCTATTTCTGCAGCCCCTGCTACTCTCACACTGGGAAGCTCCAGCTCTCAACAGCTCCAAAAGCTGGTGGCGGGCGCCTCCTGGTGGCTGCTTCGAGCACCTGTCATCCCCCAACGCCCACTTCAGTCACAGGGCCTTAAGGAAAGCCGCCAAAGGGCTCTGGAGCAGCAGTGTCCTCCAGTGGAGCGGGAAACGTGGGGACCTGCTCCCTGCCCAGAAGGACGGGGTGACACTGCTCAGATGTCCCCCTAGTCCTTCGGCCTTGGTCCCCCGCTCCATGATGTCGAGTCCCCCATCACTTTCTCATCACTTCCAAAGGGCAAATAAAGCCATGTTTCTCCTAATGCATAATCCCGCCTTTTCCAGGGTCAGCTGCCCCGGCCCAGGGTGGACACCCCTCTCCCACCAAAGTGCCCTGAACGCCTTCCTTGCGTGTCACACTGGAGAGTTGGGGGCAGGAGCCAACATCCCTCCACTTCTGACTCGGCCCCCAGGGCCTGCCACGTTCCCTCCTGCCGGGCCAGTCTCCCACCCCATCTCCAGCTGCAGCCGATACCCACCGGGACTCAAGCCTGTCTTTGAACTCTCTCTGCAGGCCACACCCTGAAGTGAAGGGATCCCTGGCTCCCAAGGAGGCCACTGGAGGTATTTTTCTAGAAGAGAAACAGTCCACCAAGATGAGCTGTATTCCCCTCCCAGAAGGTAGAACAGAGTGCTTGTCACAGCAGCTCCTTCTCTTGATCCCAGAGTGATGGAGAAGCATCAGGAGGCGAAAGATCCCAGGTCTGAATCCGGGCTCCTACCACTCTGGAAGCTTTGGCGGGCTGATCCGACCCTCGGGGTCAGCGTGGGTCCAAAGGCGGTAACACAGGCACACGGCGAGCCTAGCTTGAGTAGGGCAGCCAGTGGTCCTGATTTGCTGGGGCTGCGGAGTTTCCCCAATATGGGGCTCCTAGGGCTAAAATCATAACGTCGCACACTACCGGGGTGCTCGCACAATGCTTTAAATCGGGGGTCAGCAAACATAGAGCCTGCCGCCTGCTTGTAAATAGAGTTTTATTTAGAACCTAGCCCACCCCATTCATTTGTGACACACCGTCCAGCACCGCATTTGATCTACAAGGACGGAGGATGGGGTTGAGAAGTTGCAGCTGAGACCACGTGGTCTGCAAAACATAACATATTTTTGGTCTGGTCGTTTAAGAAAAGGTTTGCTGGCCCCAGACTTTGTACAGAAACCTTGTAGGCTGCAGCTGTGCTCAGCCCTGTGAGGGGTGAGTGTTAAATGGGAGACAGGCCCCCTATAGAAGGCAGAGGTCATGGTGGGTTTCCAGGCAGGATGGCCTTGACGTTTGTCTGAGATTTGAGGGGGTGGGGGACAAATTCTGTAGGCCAGAACTAGGTCACGGGTGAGTTGAATAAAGCAGATTCAGGGAACAGCCTCCGTGTCCCCATGACAGCCTAAAACCTTCCCCAGCTGCCCAAGGATGTACCAACTTGTCCCAGTGTCCGAGAGACAATGCTGAAGTCAACTTTAGGCCCGGACAGGGGGCTTCCTGGAGGGGGCTGGGTTGAACAGCAAAGGACCAATCCCCACCAGAAGGAGGCACCCTGATACCCTGAGACATTCAGGCATCATTTGTTCATCAAATATTTATTAAAGGCCTGTGCTGTACCAGGCTCTGGGCTGGGGAATGGGCCACGTCAGTGAACAAGACAGAGCCCTCCCTAAAACGTGGGCACAGGGGCAGATGAGAGAGGGCAGGAAAGGGGTTACTCTGTCCCCTGAAGGAAGCTCGTTGGTCCACACAGCCTCAAAGAAGCCTCTCCAAGTACACCCCAGACCTCGGGCCAGGATCTCACCCTGGGCTCCCTGGGGAGACGCCCAAGAAAAGCCAAGCTGCCCTCAAGTGCAGGGGTGATTCCGAAAGGCCTCCAGAACCCGGCACCCCTTCCCCAGATGCCCATTCCTGTACGGTGACCAGCGCAGCCAGAAGACTCTGGGTCTTCCCTGGGTGCCAGGGGAGGAGACCTCAGTGGTTGGAGGCATTAGAGGGAGCCCAGACAGGTGGGAGACAGGGAGGTGGGGGGACCTCCCCAGCCTCCACTGGAGGCAGGAGGGAGACCAAAGTGGCTTGCTCACCAGTCCTGCTTTGGCTACAGGAGTCCAGCCCCTTTCAGGCCTGTGGGACAACCCTGTCCTAAAGGTCCCCATCCCTGGGGGCCCCAAGGAAACCCAGACCATGGAACAGAGCCTGGGTACTCAGTGGTGGCCCGGTGGGCCCTGGAGGGAGCGAGGAGGCCAGGGTCCTGCTCAGGTGGACAAACAGAGGAGTTAAGGGAGGAAGCTCTGCAAGGTGAGGTCGTCCCCATCTCGCCCCTCCCCAGGCTCCGCCTTTAGGCCCTGGCTCTTGGCATTGGGCAGGCCCCCATTGGCCGTGGCAGGGGGCACATCGCCCCCCTCAGGCAGCAGGGATGAGATGCAGACCATCTCGGTGGGGGAATAATTGCGCACGGGGTACATGTGATTCTTGCGGGAGAGGCGGACGGCCAGCACCACGGTGCACACGAGAAAGGTTGTGGCTACCAGGGCCAAGATGAGGATGGCCAGTAGGCACTGCTTCACAGGGATGCGGTCCGGGGCCCCTGTGGGGATGGGGGCCACGGAGCTCTGTGGGGAGAGACGCTGCCTGTTTTTCCATTGTTCAGTGAGGACAGCAGACAAATTGCCCGCTGCCACAGTGGTGCTGTTTTGAGGATCAGAGGTCACAAGAGGGACGGTGGTTAGGCGCCCTATGGTGGTGGCTGGATCTGCAGACGGGGGCTCTGTGGCAGCGGGCTCCGTGGACAGGGTCTCCATGACAGTAGACTTCACGGATGGGGCCTCTGTGGCAGTAGGCTCCGTGGACAGGGCATCTGTGGCTTCTGGCCCCGTGGACAGCATCTCCATGACAGTAGACTCCATGGATGGGGCCTTTGTGGCAGTAGACTCCGTGGACAGGGCATCCGTGGCTTCTGGCCCTGTGGACAGGGTCTCCATGACAGTAGACTTCATGGACGGGGCCTCTGTGTCCGCAGGTTGCATGGTCAGTGCCTCTGTGGCTGCTGGCTCTGTGGACAGGGCCTCAGTAGTGGCCCGCTCTGTAGACAGAGCCCCCTCTGTGGATGGGGCCTCTGTGATGAGAGGTAATGTAGTGGCCTGTTCTTTGGTCAGTGGGTTCAGTGTGACAGGAATGCCTTGTGTGGCCACTTCCATGCTCAGATTCCCCAGGGTCACCCCTCCTGCATCCAGGCTAGCCGACTCCCCTGTGGCCACCTCCAGAGTGTCTGGCTCAGGATTTCCATGCTCCAATATTGCCAACTCCGCCAGAAGTTTTGGGGTCAGGGCCAAAGACCCAGGGTTATCTGTAAGCGTTTCCGGAGGGCCTGTGCCTTCTGTAACATAGTCATACGAGTCCTCTTCCTGGTCCTCATCCACCTGTCTCCGGCCCCGGGAGAGCAGGGCATCTGGGGCCTCCTGGGTTCCATTCTTCCCTATCCCCCACAGCTGGAGGCTGCTGTCAGGGCCCAGCAAAATCAGAAGAAGGAGGACTTTCAGAGACATGGCACCTGGGGGGAGACACGGACAGAGGGACATCAGGACAGCCTCACCCCTGGGCTTGCCAAGCCCCCTCTACTGCGATGATGGACAGCCAGAGCCAAGAGTAGGTCTGATGGGGCAGGCACCTAGCGTCAAGCATCTGCAGGACCCAGCGCATGCCCGGTACACAGGGGCTCCCCTGCAAAGAGCAACTATCATTATTTAGCGACATCCATAGGTCCCTCCGGAGGGCCCCGCCACTCTCCTCTATGGTGCCTAGAAATTTTACCTCCCTACCCTTGGTGATTCAAACTGCAAAACTGTAGGCAAGATAGTCCACTGAGCTATAGAAAGAAACTCTCAGAGCTTCTCGTTAGACAGTTATGTCACCCCTTGTGATTTCTAGTTTTGCACACATTCATCACCTATCACAAGCCCAGTAGTGCCTGCTTACAATTCATGGATAGAGCCATGTACATATATTGTCCACGGATGGGGTCCACGAGCCAGCGAGTGGGTCAACAGGATGAAGCTGCTTGTTTGGGCCTTTGGAGCCTTTTGGAGTTTGCTCCTGACCTGTGTCTCCACATCCCTCTCTCCTACTTTCCTTCGAATTGGCTCCCACCCTACACAGGGCTGGCCTGTCCCTCAGATTCTCAGTTTTTCCCATCCTCTCTCAGTGTCTCTGCTTGGTTTTGTCCTCATTTCCACAACTGGGATGACGGTACCTACCTCATAGTTTATTGTGAGGTCGAAACAGGCAATGCCTACGAACAAAGCCCTTAGTACTTCGTTCCCATCGCAAGCTCCAGCAAAGGGCAGCTACTCGGGCTCCATCAGTAAGCCTCTCCTGTAAGTCCGTAAGGGCCCAGAGCCATCAACTGTACCATCTGGGGCCAGGAGAAAACTCCCATCTCTTCAGATGGTCCCGGTCCTGCCCTTCGGGAGCTGACAGTCACCTCACTTGCCTGGGGGCCCATTCTCCTGGAACCCTTCTGCCCCCTGACCACCAGCCAGAAAGGAGAGTGCCTCTCCTTTCAACCCTCTCCTTGGTCTTTCTTCCTGGCATTGTGAACACCCGTGCTCTCCTCATGCTCCCCCAGCACTGGCGGGTTGTTTGCGGGATTCAGAATCATGCACTTGAAGAACCTGTGGGGAGTGACAGCTGTGTTCTGGGCCAGGATTGAGGTATTCCTGGTTTTCTTGGACATTATACCCTCAGCAGGGCAACAATCCCAAGCACTGTGTCTGGAGCAGAGCCTTGGTCATTTCCAATATTTCCCTTGTACCTCACATAATTTAGAGCAAACCAGTTGTTCTTCCTCCTTTGAGTGACTATAGCTTACTCGTAGGTTCCATAGCTTCCAGGCTCAACCTGATCTTCACCTGTTAGTTGATGTTGGTTTCTAAAATGTCACTCTGGGGACGCCTGGGTGGCTCAGTGGGTTAAAGCCTCTGCCTTCGGCTCGGGTCATGATCTCAGGGTCCTGGGATCGAGCCCCATATTGGGCTCTCTACTCAGCAGGGAGCCTGCTTCCCCCCACCCCCCCCCGCCCCCCCTCCCACTTTGTAATCTCTTAAAAAAAAAAAAAAAAACTTTAAAAAAAAAAAAAAAAAAAACTAAAATGTCACTCTGATCATGTCTTAAAATAATTCCTTAAACCAAACTTTAGGATACCGGCCCCAGACACATCAGGCCTTCACAACTGTTTTCATTTTACTGAGGAGGGATAAGGCTCAGACAGGTAAAGCAGCTTGCCCAAAGGCACACAGCTGGCAAGTGGCAGAGATCAGACTGGAGCCCAGGAAAGGTTCAGGAGGCTCTGTGGAGAAACCTGACCTAGCTGAAGGGGGCAGAAGGAGCAATGGCTTGGAAGAGACCTTAGCTGGCTGGTTTGGGTTTCTGTGGCTGGGACTGGGGACCCAGTTGAGAGAAGAAAGGCAGGGTAAGAATAAGAAGGACCTTGGGGCAGCTGGGTGGCTCGGTCGGTTAGGCATCCGACTCTTGATTTTGGCTCAGGTCATGATCTCAGGGTCATGGGATCAAGCTCCCGGTCAGCTTAGTGCTCCACATGGAGTCTCCTTGAGATTCTCTCTCCCCTTCTCCCCCTGCCCCTCTCACCTCAATAAACAAATAAATCTTGAAGAAGAAGAAGGAGAAGAGGAAGAAGAAGGAGAAGAGGAAGAAGAAGGACCTTGAAGGCCATCTCATCCAGAAAGTTCTGTCCCATATGAACTAGGTGCTATGCAGGGCACAGGACTGAGACACAGACCATGTGGTCAGACAAAAACATGTTCAGATCCCAACGCTGTTCCTTCTAAGCTGTATGACCTTGAATTTCTGAGCCTCGGTTTTCTCATCTGTAAAATGGGGATACCGATCTGCATCTATCTCATTGAGCTATTAAGGGAATGATGGACTCAGATGATGGACTCCAAAGCTCCAGGCTTGCAGTAGGGGTTTAATAAATGTATCCCTCCCCCACACACATGCGCATGCACATTTTTTGCCTCCCAACCCGCCTTTAGGAGGCAGAGTGTCTTTGCGCAGGGGTGGAGTTCCTGCTTGGGGGTAATCTCGGCCTTACTTTGCTTGTGAGGGAGGCAGGGTGAACTTTAGGATCCGTATTTCAAAATTACCAAGACTTGTACCCACCACCCCCACTTGGCAGTTCTCGGTTCCTGGAAGGCAGAGCCCTCAGCCACTTCCTGGAAGCAGAGAGGGTGGGGACAAAAACAAAAGGCCCCACCCCCGGTTCCTGGGTGGAGGATGCACCTTGATGAGTCAGGACCCAACTTTCTGCAGCCCAGAGGCGGGGAGGAAGGTGTGGAAGGAGCGGCTGCCCTCTCCCTGTGCCCATCCCCACCATGCCCAGCATGCACAGGCAGCTTGGAAGGGAGACCACTCAGCAGCTGTGTAACCCTAGCAGGTTGCCTCAGTTTCCCTAACTGTAAAATAGGCAATCTGGCTTGAAAGAATACACCTGGATGGCTCAGTCGGTTAAGCCTCTGCCTTTGGCTCAGGTCATGATCCCAAGGTCCTGGGATCGAGTCCTGCTTCAGGCTCCTTGCTCCGCAGGGAGCCTGCTTCTCTCTCTGCCTCTGCCTGCCACTCTGCCTGCTTATGCGCACGCTCACGCGCTCTCTCTCGCTCTCTCTCTCTGACAAATAAATAAATAAATAAATAAATAAATAAAATAAAAAAAAAAAAAAGAATGGATCTGAGAATCAGATAGCATGCTGCAGGGAAGGTCTCTGATATCTGGCATCCAGTAGGGGTGTTTTACCAGGGGACCCTCTTCGGGGCTGCGGACAGAGATGCAGAAGAAAGAGAAAGCTCAGGGTCAGGGAAGGTGTGGCTGCGGTGGCCTCCCTACCTCCCCCAGGGGCAGTGAGAGATGCCATGGGGTCCTGCAGGAGAGCAGAGAGCGCCGTGTGTGTGGAGATAAGACAGGGCACACCAAGAAAGCCCCATCGCCCAGCCCAGGTCTATTTGGGGGCAACAACCTCGTCCAGGGTGTTCCTGCTGTTAGTGCTCAAAACCTCTCATCCCCTTATCCCTCGTCCTATTGCCTGGGTCCCAGGCAAGCTGGGCTGGCTGGTCACCTCAGCCTGGTGCCTGCCACTCCATGGGCTTCAAGGGAGAGGGACTACAGGGACCACGAACACCACAGCCATGAGCCAGGCTGCAGCTGGGCAGGCATCGGCTCATTCGACAGGAAGAAAATCCAGCTCCCGGGGTTACTGGGGCTCTGAGGGGGCTGTGCAGGCGGCAAGGAGAAGGGCGGAGTGTGAGCACTGTGTCTGGCAAGTAAGATCCTGACTTTAATATTTGCTAAGATCAATGTATGGTCATATAATGAGAACGGCATATCAGAAGGCTGGACCATTCCACACCAGCACTGGGTGCTACGATTCCCATTACACAGATGAGGACAGCAAGGCTCAAAAGACTGAAGGCAATTCCTCAGAGTGGTGAAGCCCTCCCCTTACACCTTTCTCCCTCCAGAGGCAGGAAGACGGTCACTTAACACAGGAGAGGGGCTCTGAGAGAGGGGCAAAGAGCTGCTACGTCCTGTCTTCCTGCTTGTCTAGCGGAGTAGGTCAGATATGGCCCGTTTCCTGTCTTTTACCCTAAAACCAGGTTGCTTTGCTGGGGCCCCACCCAGGCTGTGGAGGGGCAGGCTGCTGGCAGGGGCAGCAGAGGGGGTGGGGGGCCATGCCCTGCTCCAGACACGGCTGCAGGCGGCACCCCCAGCGCTGCTCGGGAAAGACACCATGGCAATTCCAAGAAGCTTGGGACTTCACAGTCAGAATCTTGGATCCTGGGAATCCCTGCACTCAAGAGTTTGGAAGTTTGGGACTGGAAAGACAGAGCATCTCAGGGTGTGGATTGAACAGCAGGCCGAGAGAAGGGGAGGCTCCAGATCAGCAAGTAGGTCAACCGAGCCCCAGGTGTCCCCCACTCCTTCCACCCCCTGCTGACCCCAGGGCAGTTCTCAGTCCTGGCAGCCAGGACAGGCCCTGGCCCAACTCGGAATCAGGTCCAGCATCAAACCAGATCAAGGCTCAGCTCTGGCACGCACAAGCTGTGTGACCTTGAGCAACTGAACTCACCTCTCTGAGCCCCAGGTCCCACGTCTGGAACACAAGGACAATGATAGCACGTACACGTTGTGGGGTGGCTGTGGGTTGAAGTGAGCTGGTTCAGGTTGAGTGTTTAGCACACAGTAAGTGCTCCATAAGGGCAAGCTGTTGTCTCTGTCATTCTGCATTCAGGGCCATAGCCTGGAAAAAAATCCCACCCTGGAATAGCTTTGACGTACCTCTGATCTTGTCTGACAGCGAGGGCTGGGGTAGGGAGCCCTAGAAAACTGGGTCTACACCAAACCCCAGGCCATCCCCGGCTTGCAAATCACAGGAATCAAGTGTAGACCATGTTCCAGGGACTGATCTAAGAGCTACGCATGAATGACTGGCTCACCCAGGCCCTAGCACCTCCTCTACTAACTGCATGTGAAAGACACAAGAGAGAAACCGAGACCCACTTGGCACCTAGAGTCATGCACCCAGTAGGAGAGGGCTCAGCAACTTGCCCCTGGCTTTCTCATTCCAGATCCAACTCACAGTCACAGCCAGTTCTCCAGAGCTGAGCAAATGACGCCTCCTCCAAGAAGCCAACCTGGATTGCTCAGGCATGATGAACCGTTCCCATTGTTTAAATCGTTAAAATGTGGTTTACTGTCTGACACTCCATTCCCACTGACCCATAAACTTTAAGAGAATGGGAACCACAGATGTCCTGCTGCTCACGTCCCATGCTCAGGGCTTAGCAGACAGGCAGGCACTTAGTCAGTGTTGTGACATTTGCCCAGTGGGGCACAGGCACAGTGCTGCCCCACCACCGCCCCCACCAGACTGCAAGCTTCCGGAGGACAGGGTCTCCACCAGGTCCCCAGCACTGGCAGGCCTGGCTTCCTGAGGGCTCACCAAAGGCCCATTGCAAGAGGGGACTCGGGAATGGGATAGAGGCAACCAGCATGTGTGTTCTTGCACTGGGCTTGCCGTCCTGCCCTTCCCGACTTTTCTCATCGTCGCCACTGACCCCATCAAGGAGCCCTTTCTGGCTGCTTTTTTACCTAATTACCACCCATCTCCATAAACTGATACCGCAGATACGCCTGTTTACTGTTCCATAGCTCTGTGCAGGAACACAGGGCACAGTGATGGCTAAGATTTGTTCTGCTCCCTGCACCCACCAAAGCAAAACAAAACAAAACCAACTTTTACCGTCCGGACCCTGAATTCGGCAGCCTAGCATAGAGGAAGCAAGGTATTTTGCACAAATGAATTCAAAGAGACCCAAACTTGGTTTTAGTTTACCAACTGAGGATTGTCTGAAGAACTGTGTATGGACAGGCAGATGGACCAGCACACAGACGCACGGACACACTCCAGCCATCCTCTCTCCTTCTAGCCTGAGCCCCAGGTCCCACTGCTGTCCTCTCATTCAAGCTCAGCAAAGGAGACCAAGAGACCACGGCTGGGGTCACCCTGGGCTCCACGAGGGTCCTGCGGCTAGATGGGGGTGGGCAGCAAGTCCAAGGCCAGCCACCTCCCAGCCAGGCCACGATGCGCAGCTGCTTCTCCCCTTTGAGCCTCAATTTTCTCATCAGCAAAAGGGAGGCACAGCATTCCTGGATGACTGCCCGGCGCCTCGGAAGACCCTGCTCCTGCCTGGCCGAGCTTCCCGGGAGGCGCTCAGCCTGGCACCCCAGTCCCTTCCACCATCCGGGCTTCAATCTCCCCTGGCCGCTGGCCAAGCCTGGTGAGGGAAGCATCTACCATTTCGGGTGTGGCCCGGCAAGCACCAGAGGAAGCGGCTGAGGGGCCTGGGGCCGGGAGGGTCACCTCTTGATCTCCCTGCCCACCCAGAGACCTGGTCTCAGGAGGCTGGAAATCCGAGATGGGAAAAGAAGAAAACAAGAGGGTCAGGAAGGAGGAAGAGAATTACAGGCGACTGGAGCCCTGATCATTGTTTATGTATTCTAATCATGATTATTTTCTCTTTCGCTAGCAATATTAGTTAGTATCCTAATTCTAGCATTTTCATGATTTACTACAGACTAGTGTCATCTTCTCAACTTTATAAAAAGCATGAAAAACATGACTTTGGAGATAATATTGTTATGGACCCATAGCCTAAGAGGCCTCAGGATACAGCCTGCACCTGCTCTCTCCCTTTCTGGAATCGCCCAGATCCACACCTACCTCTGCTCTGAGCCAATCCCCTCACTTCCCTGTGCCTTGCATGAAAGCAGAGCTCGTATGATTTTTAGGGACATGTTCCTGATTTCTGTGATTTTTTTCAAATTTAGAAATTTTGAAAAATTTCTCCCCCTCCCTCAAGCCAGCTGGTGCTGGCAAGTCTGATGGGAGGGTAGGACGGAAGTGGAGGGAGGGAGCAGGATCCAGCCGAATAAGGCCATGACCTTGATCCTGAGCCCCGGGGCTCTGGTTCAGAGCTCAGGCCGCCTGCTGCTGTCAGGTGGGCCTGCTGGTCCCAGGCTACCGCCCTCCCCAACCGCTCCCTGTGGGTGGGCGAGAGTGCACTTACCTTGCTCAGCAGAGCATGGGACGGCTGCCTGGAGCGCCCAGAAGAAGCGACTTCTCTGCTGTAGCAACCCGGGACAGAGCCCACACAGCCAGAGTACTGCTGTGGCACCCCGGCTGTGGTCCCGGACCCCGCCAACACTCAACGGTCTGTGTGAAAGAAGGAAGCGAGAATGTGGTTACTCAGACAGGGCCACGTGACAGCCCACACCCCCTTGTTTGTGACAGCTTTGGTGGCAGTGTGGATTGAGACTGGGTGGGTAGTAGGAGACCAGGACCTGCCGAGCCCTCTTGGGTTCCGGTAACCGCGCACATGCTGAAAACCACATGGAAGCTTTCCTGGGGAGGGCTGCTTGAGAGGCACAACCCTGTGGTGATGGAAGAGGGGTGAGGAGGGCCCCACCCTGGAAGGAAGGGAGTGACCGGATGCAAATGAGGATGGTTCTAGATTCTTGTCCAAGGCGGGAATCCGGGTGGGAGAAGCCGTAGGACACAGACCTTCCCGAGGTTTGCAGATACGAGGTAGCCGTTCTTTCAGGATCCGCCTCCAGGGGCACAGGTGGTCTTTTTAGCCAGAAGCAGTACCTGCTCTGAGGAGCTACGTGGCAAATTCCACCGGGGCAAGACCTGCTTATTTTACCTCCCCAGCCTGACTCGTTCGTCGGGCTGGGTGCTCTGAGGTGCAGAAGGCAAGCTCTTCCAGGCTCCGGTCCTCGTGGAGCTCTTCCATCTGGTGGGGAAGCCGGCAGGTGCACAAGGGAACAGAGTGTCACCCTGCGGTGAGCTAGGGAGGGGCCCCTACCCTACGCTGGGCAGGGGACGGGGTTGTCAGGAGAATCTTCCAAGAAGTGGCTCATGATCTCAGGGTCTTGGGATCAAGCCCCGCATTGGGCTTCCTCCTTGGTAGGGGATCTGCCTCTCCCACTCCCTCTGCCCCTCCACCCAACTTGGGCTCGCTCTCTCTTCCTCTCTCTCTCTCTCTCTCTCTCTCTCTCACAACTCAATAGATGAATAAAATCCTTAAAAAAAAAAAAAAAAAAAAAAGAACCTCTATTCTGGAAGCTCCCAAAAACTTCCCCAGTCTGTATATAGAGAGGAACACTGAGACCCCCAGGTACATCAGAGACGGGACAGTCCCTCTGCTGGGACTGCCTTGGGTCCCCACCCCTCAGCCCTCAACCCAGCTCATCCTGAACCAAATCCACAGTTCTGAAAAAAACGGAGAGGTCCAAAAGATACAGAAGACAAAGGAGGGGGACCTACCTTCCCAGTCTGCCTGCGACTGAAGGACCTCTGGGGATGCAAGGCTTTCAGGCTTAAAACTGGGCAAGTCTCTGGCAAATAAATGACTTGGTCACCTTAGAGTGGGGACCGGCCCCTTCCAGGCCACAGTGCCAGGGGAGCTGGCCATTCACTAAATTCTGAATGGGGTGGCATCTGAAGCTGTTACCCCACCTGCAGCACTGGGGTGGGAGGACTAGTGTTGGGGGGGTTCCGGAACAAGCAGAGGCAGAGTCCCACATCCCCCAGATGCACCCCTTCCTCCCCCTCCCAGAAGCAGCCACAAGCTTCTTCTCAGGAGGGTCGGGTACAACCTGGGGAAAAGGAAACTATACCACAGACCCGCCCCTGGTCCTTTATGCCATCTGTGAGCTTTGAAAACCATCCTGGAGCAGGACCCTTTGGGGGACAACAATCAAGGCCAGGGCGCTGATAACGGGCTACGTATGAGCTGCATGACCTTGGGCAAGTGTCCTCTCTCAAGCCTCGGCTTCCTCTCCTGCAAAGCCTCGTAATACAAATGCCTAACATTTCCTTGGCCTCTGCCACACTCCAGACACTGCGTCATATCAGCTCATAGAATGCTCAGAGCAGTCCTTTGGGGAAACTGAGGCTCTAAGTGAGGCTGTGCCCTGCTCAAGGTCACTCAGAGTAGGGGGCAGAGCCGGGTCCAGACAACAAGAGGAAAAAGCCCACCCTCTCACCCCCTGGCCCACGATGGTCCTGGCTGAGTAGCCGCGCACAGCCTGTCTCCTCTGCAGGCCAGCAAGCCCCCAGCAAAAGGAAAGGGGATAACTCAGGGGCAGGTACGTGATTTCAAGGTAAGACCAGAGTGTTATGCCTGGGTTTTCACGTCCGAGAGACCACCAAAGGAGCCAAGCACCGATGCAATCACACGAGGGTTTTTTTTGACAAGTTTAAGCTTGGGCCCAAGTATATCCGGCACAGCGGAATAGGGACTTGGACCCCGAACCAGATTACAGTCAGTTTTTAAAGGCAGAGTAGGGGTAGACTTGGCGGTGGGTGAGGACAAAGGGGATTAGGGATGATGTTAGTCTCTAAGGAATTTTGGAAGCAAGGTCTCCAGGACCTTGAGGGGCTAGCTATTGTTGGGAGAAAGGTTATTTATTCCCAGTAATAAAAATCTTCTCGTGAGACCCTTTAGATGTATGTCAGTGGGCCATGTGCTTGGGAATGATTGTTGACACTATCTTGGAGGTTTAGAGATAAAGTTTCCTAAAGAAATTATTAAAGTAGACTTACAGGATCCTGGTCGGACCTATTGGAGTAGGGGGTCGGTCAGGCTAGGATTGTCCTTAGCAAAATCTCAAAGTGAGGGCAGTTGAGTCCCCAGGGGAGAGCCACTCTGTTTCAGGGGCTTATCAGTAGGTGAGGAATTTTAATGATTTTCTTCTGCCTCTTTTTCCCACATCAGCTAAACTTGAGGTGGGATGGCCTTAATTTTCTCAGCCTCCATACAGAGCAGGTGAATGTGCTGGCCGAGGAGCAACCACCACTATGAAGATTCTGGCCCGTGCCATCCGCGTGAAGACCAGAATAACCACATCTCATGAAACCTAACCCCTGCGAGATTCAAGCATTCAAAGTGAGGTTTCCACTCTGCAGGCAGAGCCCAGAAAAGGGCTCCCCAAATGCCTTCAGAGAGCAAAGTGATGATACTTGACTTGAGAGGAACACTGGAGAAAAGAGACCAGTTCCATCCTGATGGAAACCCGCCCCTCGGAGCGCGATCCGGGTGTGAAAGTCGCACGTATGCTGGGTGTGCACAGAGCACTCACACGCAGGAGTAAAGATGTGTAAACAGAGTACTCTCAGGTGCGGTTGGGTGCTCAGAGGAGGTACCGAAGGAAAGGCTCTGGGCCCTCATCTCTGGGTGGCCCAAGGATGGGCAGCCCCTTCTCTTTTCCCATACGTCTTCCTGCCCCATATTTTTAGATTAAAAAAGTGTCTATAACGACTCTATGTCGGCTTTATGACCGGGAAACAGAGATGTTAAGCAGCGTGAGGACCTGAGAGACACCCTAGATTTCAGGATGACTTGACATTTACCCTCTCTGTCTTTACCTGCCCAGGGGGTTTGGGGGACAGCCCCTCCCACAGCCCAGCCCAGTGTTTCTTGGGGCTTCAAGCTGTGGTTTCCCAAAGCCCTTTGGCCACAGCAATGGGATCACTTCCTCAAATGCTTCTCAGCCCGAATCTGGAGGATTTTCTTGGGGTGGGGGGGCGGTTAGGAACCTACTCAGACATCACAGAAAGCCCCGGAGGGCAACTCCTTCCCTAGAATAGGATCAAGGAGCTTTTTCTGTAAAGGACCAGAGAAACTGCATCTTTTCAGCGTTGTGGATCTGTCCCAAATATTCAACTCCAGGGTGGAAACATGGACACAGCCACAGTCCGTATGTAATAAATGGGTGTGGCTGTGAGCCAGTAACATTTTCTTTACAAAAGTAGGTGGAGGGCCACATTTGTCCTACAAGCTGCGGTTTACTGGCCTCTGACCTAGAAAAATGAGACACTGGCTATGGGGAGAACCATTTGGAATAAGGAATGAATGGGTCCCCACAAATGGGCAGAATGAAACACGAGTCCCCTTAAGACAATGCCACGGGCTTTCTCAGGGCAGGGCACATTTAGTGAGCCCTAAGTGCCAGGCACTGGGATGAGCTGCACACAAGACACGTACTGTTCTTGCCCTCTGGGGCCCTACAGATGAGTGTCCAGGTCAAAAGCCATCATCCAGGGCCACCGAATTAGCCAGCTGGAAAAACAGGGGTTGGAGAGTGAGGAGAATTGAATCCTTGCCTCCAGGCTGTTGTGTAGCTTTAGGAAATTCACTTGGCTTCTCTGAGATTGTCTCATCTCATTCATGCGTAGTGCAAAACAGCGCAAGGAATAATCAGAGTCTAAGAGGAGACTAGGTTGCAGATGTAGGCAGAGCCCTATCGCTTCACCTCTGACTCCCTGAGTCCATCTATCCTAAAACTTAAGAGCAAAGCCCACTATGGGTCTCAGGCCCCTTAGCCCTCAATGAATAATCCTTGCTTCAAGTGTGGGAACTCTCTCCCTATGCAGGATTCAATGACTCCCCATTGCTTTTATTTTATTATTCAAAGATTTTATTTATTTATTTGAGAGAGAGAGAGAATGAGCAGCAGGGAAGAGCAAAGAGGAGGAGAAAGAGAGGGAGAGAGAAAGAGAGAGAAGCAGACTCCCTGTTGAGCAGGAAACCTAACTCGGGGCCTGATCCCAGGATGTAGAGATCACGGCCCCGAGCTGAAGGCAGATGCTCTAAGGACTGAGCCACCCAGGCACCCCTCCCCATGGCTTTTATTTATTTATTTAAGATTTTATTTATTTATTTGACAGACAGAGATCACAAGTAGGCAGAGAGGCAGGCGGGGTGGGGGCGGGGGGGAGCAGGCTCCCTGCTGAGCAGAGAGCCCGATGTGGAGCTTGATCCCACGGACCCTGGGATCATGACCTGAGCCGAAGGCAGAGGCTTTAACCCACTGAGGCACCCAGGTGCTCCTACCCATGGCTTTTAGAATAAAGACTCAAATGCCCAACATGGCAGCCGATGCCTTGACCCCTCTTCCTCTCCAGCCTCATGTTGCTCACATGCCCCCTTGTTCTCTACTCCAGTGCCTTCTTTTTGCTCCTCTTATGTCTCCTCCTGACACAGGACCTTTGCATGTACAGTTCCTTCTGCCTGGAGCATTCCTTACTGCTCATCACCTGAGTAACTCCTACTCACAATTTAGACCCAGTTCACCTGCCATCTCCATGGGAAGAGCCTTTCCTAACCTGCAACCCCACTCTGAGATCGCAGAACACTGCCTCCCTC